GGCTTAAACTAAGTCAGACCCAAATTCACATTTATTCATGTAGATATTTTAGTTATGGAGTCTCTGAGCCCGGCAGCTGCTGATTAAAGCATGAATAAATACAAAGACAGAGGCCAAGCTCAATCTTAATTTTTTATCACCACTGGTTGGTACACTGCTTTCTTTCTGTTCTTATTCTTTTACTGACAAGTTCAAATGAGGTTGTCCATCTTCCTCCAGCTACCTGTTCCCTTACTTTTATTGTTTAAAATCTAATATTTAATGCCTCTGTCTGAGCAGCCACAAAAACAGAGGAATGAATGGTGCACCAGCTGCACAAGATTAGATTTTTATGTAAGAATCTACCTCTTATTTATTTAAAATCACACAATTGAGGCTGAAATAAGAGGAACATCTTCCCCCACAAAGGAATGCTGTTGCTTCAATGTCTGTGTAATAAATGTGTGATTACTGTTGGCTATGGTCACTTCTCCAACCAATCAAAGCATCAGAATTAAAAGAGTCACTGTTGTATGTTTTTCTTCTCTCTCCCCTTTGGTATAAAACACTGTAGACCAGTTGGGCTGGTTAAATGTGCTGTCGGCAGCTTACTGATGTATAATAAATGTGTTTTTGGGTGAAGTTCCAGCAGTTGACCCTGTGTAGCTTTAATTTTAAGACAAGACATCCTGAGACAGGCCAGTGTGCTGATATGGTTTGTTTAAAAGCCCAGAAAGCTTTTTATTGCTAACCATCCACTAGAGTGCATGAAATTGGATTTTTAGGCCACACCCTACCCACAGATGATGGCTTATTTCTCTTTAAAATGTGTTTTTTTCCCTTCATCCATTAGTCTATTAGTGGGTGTATGGGACACCAGAACCACTTCTGTTAATATTATTATTTCTTCATACGTATAGAGAAGATAGAAATAAAACCAACAACCACATTTTCAGTTAGTCAGGTTGTTCTTATTGTTCCTGTAAATAAGTGCCCAATAAACGCTAATATCTCTCAAAAGAGATAGATAGATACTTTATTCATCCCGAGGGAAATTCAAGAATGTAGGAGGGTTCTGTATCAAAGGGTTCGCTATATAAGATGTTCTCACTAAAACTGGGCTGTTAATGCACAAGGAAACAAGTTTTAAAGATTAAAGATCATGCAATTTACATTTCACATGACCATAAATAAAAATCTATTTGAGTCAGCTCTGTAGCAGCAGCAGCAACATCGAGGGGACAGGAGGTAAAGTTTGTCATTTACTTTGACATAAAGTTCAGGAAATTTTAAGTTTCACCTCTCATGCAGTCTGTGATCTGTGGCTTTGAACGGTACAACTATGATAACAAGCTGTTAGACAAAGGGCCAAAAAACATTTTGTGTTTGTATTTAATTTCTCTCTGGAGCAACCACAGTTCCCAAAATGTTCCCCTCTCCCTGTCTTTGTGTCTATTGTACAGTATGATGAATATGCATGATTGCCTGTGTGTGTGTGTTTGTGTGTATGTACGTGCATGTGAATGACAACACACAATAAATGGTGTGCAGGTTTGGCCACCCATCGGATTTGTTGTTGCCCCCGGCAACAGGTTCACGGCTGAATGGTATCCATTGGTTACTTAAACATTCTGAGCATTGTAGATGGACAAAGGGATGGTGCAGCTGACAACACACAGTATTACACACAATACACTTTCTATAATTCCTCTTCTATTCCACCTACTGCTCCTCATGTCCTCTGTCTCCCTTTCCACACATTCACTCATTAACATTAAAGCTCTTTCACTGTTAAATCTTGTGAGATTAGGTTGCTGCATTTTATTTTTACACACACACACACACACACACCACAGTTCGTACAACACATGCAACTAACATGCTATAGTTTAATTATGCGACTGATGTAATTTCATCACGTATAATAAAACTACAGAATTGAACTAAAACGATAACAAACACACGCAGTGAGCTTGAAGTTTAAACTTCAAGACTCAAAAGACCAGATTCACCTAAAATATAAAGTAGTTCCAGATAAAAAACCAAAACATTTAGATCTATTACAGACTTAATTTCAAGTAAACTTTCCAAACTGACAGTGAAATCTTAAGGTCCACACAGATCTGTAGTAGGAAACTGCTTATCAACAACTTAATATCCAAAATATATGTTTAAATTACTTTAATTCAGGACTAAGGCTTAAGACCAGTTTCTATGTCCCAAAACTCCTCTTCCCTCTTTCAAATCTCCTTCTTCTCTTCCCGCCTTTGCTATACCTGTACTTTTCTCCTCCCCTCCTCCCTCCCCTCTCCTTCCTCCCCTGTCCTCCCTTCCCCAGCATGGTCGTGCCGAGTTTTCCTGGGAAGGAATCAATGTAAGTCTGTTTGTTTCAATCTCCTTTTCACTCCCTAAATCTCTTCTTGTCATTTCCCCCTCCATCGCTCACCAACTACCTGAGTTTGGGCTTTGAGTGCATAAGTTGACATCCTGCTTGTTTACCCTTCCGCCCCTTCCTGGCTCTTCCTGTCACTTTCTCTCTCTTATCTCTATCTCCCACTCCCTCTCCCTCTCTCTTATCCCCCAGTTTTTCTTTTTCTCCCCATAAACTTTCCCTTGCATCCGTCTCCTCTCTTGGCCCTCTGCTAATCTACTGTACTGCAAGCTTCATATATATACAGAGCCACAGATAACAGGCTGTAATAAGCTTATCTCATCCACAGCTGAAGACTTCGTACAAGTTCTGGTTTTTACTGAAAGCACTGCATGATGAAGTTCATCGCAACAGAGCTGTTTCTGTACCTTCAACAGAATTTATTTGCACTCAAACATGCTTGAAGGCAAATGATCTCAGATAGACATACTTCTGTTTTAAGTAACAGGGGTCTGGAGAAATGTTCTTTTACACAAAGACCTTAAGGGAGGATTGTTTGACTTTTAGGTCGACACCAAATTCTTGTAATTGTTGTTTGTTTTCCTAGCCAGATGGACCAAGTTTGCATCCTTCGCTGAGGTGAAATGCTAGCAAAAATGCTTTTATCACACTTGATTATTGTTATTCACATGGAGAAATAAACTTTGATTCATAGCTTCCTGCTGTTATTTGGTGAATAAATTAGTGTTCTGGTAACATTTCATATTTGCACATCTAACAGACACACCTGATGAATTTAAGTCCAATATTCACTCTCCTTTTAGCTCTATCCACCAACTCCTAGATACTCTAGTTATTAACGTTGTCTTCTGTTTGGGGTTGGGCAGGAAGTAGGATAATCAGAGCATGTTTGCTTTAAACCGCTGCTTTCTGCTGCTTGAAATGTGTTTGATGAGAGCTGAGAGAATGAACCATGCAATAAATGAGCCAACCAAAACTATGGTTGCAGAGTTGGTATGTAACTATGAGTGACCCCTTTTACCTTACATGTGGTTGAATTAATGTCAATACAAAGAATTTTTATTAATGCATTATTATTATTAATTTATTTAGGCACCACTGTCAGACTCAGATTCAGCTTATATTTAACATTAACACTGTGAGACTGTGGAAGATGGGAAAGCAAAAAGGGAACTTGAGAAAGATATTTTTTGTTAAAGAATGCGTGTTCAATTCTGGTTTCCATTTGAGGGTGAACAGGCTCTAGTGGACACGAGAATACTGCAGGGGAAATCTATGATCATGGATTGCTATAACATCTACCTCTGTATGCCTGCAGACTTACTGGCTGCTGTATTAATACACCACCTTATGTAACTGCTACATGCACAGCAGATAGGATAACACCTAGATGATACTCTGCTTGTACACCACAGAGGGACCAGATAATATCAGTTTGTCTTTACACAGTAATTACAGCAGTTTAACTCCAAATATTACATCACATCTATCACACAATCCCCCGGTGTAACAGAGTCCACATGTTTTCCCCACTATTTCCCGCTGTAATTAGCCGTTGGGAGGACCTCATTAAGAGCCAGGCTCTGTCTCTGTGTTCATTAGTTTGCTGGTTGGTTTGCCATGAGCACTGGCGCCAGGAAGTACAGTAGAAATCACACAAGCATAAGCAATTTCAGTTTGGTGTGCTGTGCACTTGGTATTAGTGTCTTGATGGAGTATCTATAGTCCTGATTATCTTCGAGCACCGGAGAGGAACAACATGTGGAATATGTTTAATGAGTCAATTTAACCTTTAATATCACAATTCTAATATTATATCACACTAGCTTTTGAGGGTGTTTGAATCAGGGATGTTTATTGGGGGGCTTACATGTTGTTCATTGGGGGGCTTACTTGTTGCTTCATTCACTCAAGTAAAACCAGAGTATATGTATTTCATGTATTTCACAGGAAGGTCGAGTGAGAAGAGACACTGTTGAACTAGAGAAGACAGGTTTAAGCCTCCGTCTCTGCCCTGAAGAAGAGACGTTAAGCAAAACAAGCAACACATTCTCTCAATATCATAAAAACTTCTCTCTGCTATACCTGGATGAAAATAAATAAGTCCCCTGGCTTCTGTTTCCACTATTCACCCATCTAATCTTTGTATTGTATAAAAGAAAACACGATTCATCAGTGATTGTTCCATATCAAGTTTTTCATGATGATTTTGTGCCGAATTACCAGCTGCTGTGCTCACAAAAGACTCTCTGTTGTCCATTTAAATTGCTTTTGAATCATCCTTTACGTATCCATTTTTCCTTTTAGCTGCAGTAAATCAATGATTCTCGTCTTTTCAATCAGTGATCCCTGTAAGACATTTACAAGGTGTTAATTAACCCTCCTTTCTTATTCCCTCTGTGACAACTTCTCTTCTCTCCTCTCTCCCTCAAACTATTTTCCAAATCTTCAATCATCTGCTCTCTTCACCTCAATTTCTTTTATTCCATTGTCTTTTTCTTGCATTTATCTCTCTCTCATCTTATTTTGTCTTTTTTTTTTCTGTCACATTGCATTTTTCCTTTAATCGACATTCTCCCTCCTCCTACATTCTCTTGTCCACACCTCTCCTCCCTCCCTCTCTCTTTAGTTGTCCATGGAGGACACTACTTCCATTCTGCCTCGTCTCAAGAGGAAGCCCGCCAACTCCTATGGGATCGGTGCCCTGGCTAAGTCCTCTCTGACAGGTGTGTCAGGTGTGTGTCTGTGCTGCTAGATGGTAAAACAGCCCCCATGTTGCCTCCACGTGCTCCCCAGAGGGTCGAGGGTGAAGTTGTTGTTGAGAACTGACAGGGGCTAAACTTCCTGTTCCCTGTTGTGTAAAAAGATCGTTTTTGGTTTCTTTTTGTGTGTTATTCAGATGGTTATTTGGTGCCAGAGCAGTGCAGCAGCCACATGACCAATGTGAGGTTTGGTTTTGCGATTATCACCAAACAGAATCAGCAACACACTTTTACTAGAGCGGCTACAGTATGAATGAGAGTAAATGGGGAATATAAACCAACTAAAAGGTTTATCAACTAATTAGTAGTGATCATGATTGAAATTTGGGTAAGGGTTACTATTCCATTTAGCCTTAGCTTCATTATGTTGCTCGGCAAACAAACCACTCATTCCACTTTGCAGAATGGAGTTAAAAAAGTTGTCCAGCTAAAAACCAAATTTTGCAGCAACACTGTGATACATTGTGATGGACCTCTAAATACGTTCAAGATCACATTCCCGGTAGATTACTTACATAGTACACAGTAGTTTGACTGTTTACATCTCAATTGTCTAGACAAAAGAACTTTGAGTGGTAAGTGTATTAATTACGCACTCATCCCCCCATGGATTATATTTACTGGTGACCAAAGCAACATACTCTTTTGGTCTGGTAAATACCAATCATTAGTAACCTGAAGCTTGATTAAAATAAGACACGTAAAGCGAGGAGGATGCTAATATCACGGAGCCAACAGGTTTAATAACTATAAACCATAAATGGCACACAAATGATCTGGGTTCAAGCTCCAAATAGTCTATAGCTATTTGATAAAGCACAAGCTAATTAAGAAACTAATTTTACAACAGCATGAAGGCTTTGGTTACACTTGAATGAAAAGTTATTTTAAATTGTATTTAAATGTATTTAAATCCATTCACATGTACAATATCATTCAAGGTTGTCAGTTAGGCAACATTCTTAGGCTGCAGTGTTTTTGTTGTTTTTTTTTTGTTTTAGAAAGCTAACAGGAAATGAGGGGAGAGAGACATACAGCAAAGGTCTCTGGTCAGACTCAAACCAGGGATGTGTCGACCCCTTTAACACTAGGATCCACTTTACTCAACTAATTAAACAGTTTTTGCATCCAGAGCAGGTCATTCTTTGTGATTAGTTTGTAAAATAAAAACTCCATTCTGCTTCTTCTTTCACTTGGTTTCTGCACTGCTTGCAGGCTAAAAAAAATCACCTGACACACTTGGAAAAAACAGGAAAGATCTTTTCACTTTTGCCATAACTGGTGGATTTTATAAATCAAACCTCGCCTCAACAGACAACTTCACTCTAGAACAGGAGGAGGAGGAGGAGGAGGAGCTTGGAACCAACATGGCCGCCCCTGTGGGTGCCCCTTCCTATTCACTTCCTACTTTCCCTTCTCTTCCATTGATATCAACAACAGACGTCAATGACAGACACATTTCGCAGAGTCATTGATGGAAATCCAATCAGATCTTTGATTTCAAAGAGACTAAAGTAAGTGAGATTACTTACTTTATTTACTTACTGAAGCATCTCCACAGGCGTGTTGGGAAATTTGTAATGTGGCAGTGCTGGTGGCGGTGTGGCCCAATATTTGTGAAGTAGTGAGTCTTTTGTGCAGTGTCGTGACTTCAAGTGGCCGGTGACTCTTTTGTGCTATCTCGTGCTTTGTGCTTCAAAACTGTAGTGCTCTGTGCTTTGTAGTGTTTAAGTGTAGCACCTCAGTGTTTGTGAAAAAAAAAAATGTTTTTTGTTGTGTCTGGTGCACTTTTCTTAATAAATCTGTTGGTATGATTTAACAGTGTATAGCCTTATTATTATAGCCTTTGAATAGCCAAGACCCCAACACTCTCCCTCATCCCTCATCCCCATTCTTTCATTCCTATTTCCATCCCCAAGTAGACTCTGCAGGGAGTGTTTGATTTTCAAATGAGATTGGCTCTCTTTGTCTAAGGAGAAAAACTGTTTCTATTTATAACTCAGCCTGTAAGTTGCCCCCTGAACCGGGGGAGCAATTTTCTGAAGATCCGTCTCTGTTTATTCATGCCTGTTTGATTTTAATTTAATTTTTTTATCGATCAGCCTCTCTGCAAGCATTTGACTCAGTGTATATGTCCCTAGTTTGAATCCTGTATTTGCATCTTAATTGGGCAGAGATTTGCCAGTGGACGCTTCTCAACGTTCTGTTTACACCCAAGGATTACTTTCCTCTGCCTCTCTCAGTCTCTGTAACACGTTTTTAATTACGCAAAGTATAATGAATCTCATTTATTCTGTTTACCAGGAGATGAGTAATGGCTTTAATTATTAATACGGGTTTGTCAGCGTTTCAGCCGTCATCCTTGTCCTTTTCTGTTCAGTTCAACAAACACTAAGGAGCACACAGGCAACCCTGTCCAATTTGCCACTATGGTTAGCTCCTGTCACCTGACCTCTGACCTGTTCACTCCTGTCCATCACCTGACCAAACATTTAGCAGGTTTTGCAAACTTCAGCAGTAATATGTAGCAGATTCATCAGTTCTTTTATTTGATTACTCAAGAAATACTCATAGTATGTTTAGTCATACAGTTATCTGAATATTTCACACTTTCAGTTGATTAGATCCCAGAAATGTTGATATATGGAACTCAAAAAGAAAAAAACCCACAAAAAGTAGGCCGCAGACCCTCTTGTAATCATCATCATTATTATTATTATTTCATAAATGATTGTGATTTTAAATATCAGACACGTATAATCACTGCTCTACGAGGTCACCTCTATGTGACTAAGCTTTCATGCACCCTAATTTTCCACTATTTCTGAATAAAATAATATTGCACATTTGATAAGGGTCGTGTAAACAGCATATTCCGTTTGGATATTCCTTATTCCAAAGGTAGCATTTTTCAGATTAAGACATGTGGGATAAATTATTCAGGTTTTAAGAGCTCTCTTTGTTTACAGCACATTCGGAATATGTGTCTCATTTTGGGTTTTTGACGTTTTAAACACATGGCTGCATGTTTACGGTCAGCTCTGTGCATGTGTACACAAACTAAACCAAAAGTAGGGAAAGGAAAATGAGAGAGGGAAAAGGAGGGAAATTCCTCAATAAGAAAAAAAAGGGAAACACTGGAATATGTTGTGCATGTAAACGTAGGCAGTCACATAATTATCATCTAAAAAGGGTAGATAATGATGTGTTTGATATGAATAGATGGTGAGTGGTGACTGTCTCATTTAGATGATTATCATGCGAGTAATAATTGAAAAGCGACACATTTAAAAGGTTTTGATGAGCGTTCTGTAGATGTGGCAGGTAGATATTCTGGGGCTTTGCTCCACTGATGGAAGTTTGAGGGCAGCAGTGATTTTTGTGTTCTCGAGGAAGGAGTTCAACCCACAACTACTCCGGCAGGAGGGCTCATTGGTTAACAAGAAAGACTGAGGGTGTACAGAGCAGGTGTGAATACGGGGCAGATAATTTTTTTAAAGAAATAAGATATTAGCACACAAGACAAGCTCTTACTAAATTGATTTTAATATACTCCGCTTTAGCTGCAAGGTCGTTACCATGTCCTCATACCCATTCTCTGACTACATCCATACTATACATGTATTACCCCCCTGGCATTATTTCCTATAGTTCCACGTATTAAACAGCTTTTCTTACAACATTACACAGTTTCTCATTATCATTCTACTTCCCCCTGAGCCTCAGTTGGAGTTGTCGGCAACTGCAAAGGCCAGAAGTAGTTTTGACAGTGTTTGTGTGTGTGTGTGTGTGTGTTTGTGTGTGTTTGTGTGTGTGCTGCTGGTCTGCCCTTGCTGCTCCCCCCGTACCTGTTGTAGGTGTGAGTCGCTCCATGAAGGACAAAGTGACCAAACCCACTGCCATGGCCCAGGGTCGTGTTGCCCACATGATCGAGTGGCAGAGCTGGGGCAAACCATCTGCAGGGCCGATGGGGAGCGCAGGGCATACCAACCTGCAGAGGGAAAAGGAGAGGAGGATGGAGAACGACGCCTACAGCGACCTCAGTGATGGCGAGAAGGAAGCTCGCTTTGCTGCAGGTGAGGGACATCTGGATGTACAGGTGCAACAGTGTCAGAAAGGTGTTTTAGACCAGTTATCTGCATGGTTTGAAAGCATATTTGACATTTCAGCACAAATGAAGTTCGAATACACTAATTGTGAAATATTGACAAACCTATTTTGCCCCATGCTTTTGAGGATTGCCCCCAAAGTCCGGAAAGATTTATTAGAAGGAAGACTTGCCTTGGCGAACACTTTTTCTTGAATATTGATTTTTGCTACCCACTGCTGCACAAGTTTTCTTCACTTCAAGTTTGGAAAATCTAATTGCCTCTGGCTCATCTGGTACGACAAAAAAAGTTAGAATTAATAATATTTGACAGTTATTTACACGTTTTTGTTGTCGACAACATTTACAGATTTTCCCGCTTCTAATAGACACTTTGTATTCTCCTTCATCCCCCCACGCCCCCACCATGACTATTGATCCTGTTTGTTTTTATTACTAATTAACTTCTGTATGTGTTAGTGAAGCTGGGACTGGGATTTGTTTTATGTATTTCTAATTATGTTTCAGTGAGTTAAGAGATAATCCTATCATTATTACATGTTGCTGTTGCTAAATCATTAGCTAGCACCGACACTCATCTCACTCCCTTCTTTAGGCATCATGCAGCAGTTTGCAATCTCTGAGGCGACTCTGTTTGGCTGGAACTCGATGGATGGGGAGAGTATGGGAGCCGGCTCCAACCAGGGCAGCGTCGCTCACCTCAGTGAGGTCAACCAGGAGAGCATCACCAGCAGAGGTACTGCAATTTAAACCTTTCTGCAAATGGCTGCATGGGCTCAGCTCTGAGTGCTTCTAGTTGTAAACTGCTGCAGTATTTGGTTGAAATATTGTATTTTTATTTTATTTTACCTTTATTTAACCAGATAAGTCAACTAAGAACCAATTCTCATTGACAATGACGACCTGGCCTTGATGGCACATAGTGTGGAAGCAGTGCAAGGATGTGGAACTGTCATAAACCTACAGTTGGAGGTTATATAATATACGGGAGGGGGTATGTCATTTGTGTAGTTGTATTAATTTAACACATTGAAGCCTATCTCCCTAAACCACTAATACAGTTACAGTATAACTACAGATACTGTATTCTCATTGTAGTGGATAGCACTAAACACATCTCACACTCAGTCATGTATTTGGACCACACAGTAAACGCCTATTTTATTTTGTGCGTTGATGCACAGTTTGGGAAAATTAGAGCCCTGTTGGAAACTAAAAACAGCCACGTCAGTTCTTCCGCCGACCAGCTGTAAAGGACTTTTAGAGGACAGGCACACAGCTGCACATTTCTGCCTTTCACTGCTCCCAGGCAATTGGTCAAAAACGTCCAAATGACAAATCCAGATGACAGCCTGTCATTTCTGAAATATCAGAAAACATTCTGATGCAGAGTCATGAGTGCTTGGGTAAGAACATTTAGCCAAACTCTCAAAGATGAGCTGTATTCACATAAGAAAAGGAACTGCATGGAAAATAAAGTCAAGAGGATTTCACTTTACACTTGGCTGAATGAAACAAAAACAGTTTGGGGAAACAAACTCATATCCTGATTTGTGGTTTGAGCCTCAGGTGGTAAGATGTCTGTTTAGTTTAGTTGCACATAGGATGATAAAATGGAGAGAAAGAAGGGGAAGAGAGCAATTTGCCTAGGCGAGATTAGGAAACCCTGTCTGACCTCACAGGAACAGCCATAAAACGTCACGAAAATCTAAACAAAATAAACAATTCTGTGGCTGTTTCTGTTCAAAAATAAGAAAAAAATCCTTTGGAACCTGGACTTGTGTGTGTGCTGCTTTCACTTGTACACAGAGTAAACTGTTTCTCTTTTAGTTCTTTGCTGGTGTTTAGCAAAGCAGAGCGCTGTCCAAACCCTGAGGGACCCTGTAGGTTAGCACAAGGACTTATCCCTGCTCTCATTAACAACACCATATGTGCTATGCTCTGTGCTTTATCTAGCCTGCAACACCAACACACACGCACAGTAAACACACATACACACAAACACAGCAACAATTAAAAAGCTACTTCATATCAGCATTAAGACTAAGGGGATGTTTCTCAGTTTGAGTGTTTAGCTCCTCTCCATGAATTATACTAATGACAGTGCTGCTACAGATAGGCTAATAAGGATAATAATACTTCTATTAAAGTTATTACAGTTACCAGCTTTTGGATGAGGTCAGATTTTTCCCTGTGTATGGCTTAATAAGAGCATCTAAACTATGCTGGTAATAAATCAGCAGCTTAGGGTCTGCTTGGATTTAAGTCTCTTCTATTTATCTGCTTATCTTTGTGTGTCTCGTGTTTTTTGTCTCAAACCTGTCCCTACATGCTTCTACTGTTTATTTTACATCCTGGGGAAAACATTGTGATGCATGTGGATACAATGATTAGCTCAAATCTTTTGATTTGTGTACAGGCTTCATGTCATGTGTCATCTTAAAACATGGCAATTTTAAACTTTCACTAAAGAAGAAAATAACGAGAAAGTCTTTAAATTGAATCTAAAAGTGAGCAACTCTTCTGCAGAATTTTAATGTTTTCTCATTCTCTATTTTTGGTTTGGTAGTGGTGCTAAAATCAATGTTTGTGTGAATCTGTGGTTGTGACTCTTGTTACTACAAATCTGCAACGTGAAATTTGCTTTCTTCCTCTTTTCCTTCTATTGCTAATATTACATTTTTATCTATCTCTCTTATACTTTCTCTCTCTTTGTTCTTTGTTTTCTTTTTCTCTTGAACTAAGTTCTCCTGTGTCTCACTCCTCCCACCGGTCTGCTTTTCCCCATACAGACCAGGTGCTCCACCACTCCTCTGCGGATGTCTGGCCTCACACCTACGTCTCACAGGGCCTGTACTGCCTGTCGTCCTCAGATGCCTGGGAACCAATCACCAGCCAGCCCTCGGGCGTGGCCTCTCCTGCTGCAGGCTCCTACATCATGGCAGCTGGTGAGGATGGACTCTCCTCTACACTGAGTCTAAACATTTGACTGTGTGTCTGAGCATCAGGTACTGTGGTAAAGTGTAGTATGGTTATTCCAGGTGGCAGCAGTGGAGCAGGGGGTACACCCGGTGAAGGGTATGAGGGGACAGTAGGCGGTTACCTTCAGCAGCACCAGACTCATTTCACCTTGCAGCAGCACAACCAGCTCCAACAGCTCCAGCACCTTCACCACTACCAGCAGCAACAGCTTCTGCAGTACCAACAACAGGTCAGTAGAAGCAAGACTGTTCATTTAGGCAGTGTGTTACTAATGACTCTAATCTTTAATCTAAATTTGACCAAACTGCTGCTGGAGAGGTAACAGCATGTCACTAGTACTGTGTACACATAGTTAGAGCAAAATCATTAACAGGTCAGTAGTATATCTACCACAACACGCTTTCAAATGTTATTATACAGGACATTTTCATCAGCTAGTAAATTTTGAAATAAACGCTACATGGATTATGTATTTATTGTCTTTAGATCTGTCAGACGGTTGGCCCACCACTTTGCTCTAAATTTGAGTACCTCAACAACTATTAAATGGATTACTATTATATTTTGGGCAGCCCTTATGGTTTGGATACAATGAATCATAATGACTTTGGTCATATCTTAACTTTTCATCTAGCGCCACCATCAGTTCACAGATTCCATCTAATGAAATATGTTTACACTTGGTGCATATTGTTGCACACATATGCACGGTTCTCAGCTAGACTTCTAGTAGTGCTAATTATCTGACGTCAGTGTGCTAACATGCTAAACTAAGATGTTAAATATAGTAACCATCACATTAGCATTTAGCTGAAAGCACCACTGTGCCTAGGTGCAGCCTTTCAGAGCTGCTTGTGCGGCTGTAGACTCCTGTTTTGTTATCAACATAACAAACATCATTTTCCTTTAAACCGGTTGGATGTGCGGGCTGTGTGGCTTTTGTTGGTGTAACTGAGCTGCTGACTTCCAGCTCTCAGGCTGCAGGGAGGTTTTCTGCAAATGAAGTGAGTCATGATGAACTGTGACACCAAAAGACTTTTTCAGCTTTGTTGGCTGCTCTTGCATTGGTACATCTCAGAGCTCATTAAATAACTGAGGGTTATGAAATAATAACTTGAAAAGGTCAGGGACTGTGTCTTAGAAAAGGTGTACTGATCCGAGACCGCAATGGAAATGAGCTTGTTAGCTTTACTGTGTATTATATGGTTTCCCTTGTGAAAGAGACTATTGAATATATTACAATACATTTATAATAAAGCTTTTCAATCAGTCACTCAGCATCAGTCAGTGCATAAGAGCCTGAGACATTTCCCCCGTTTCCTGCAGCACCATTCAGTCATAATTTAAAGGGGTATTAAAAGGAGATGCAGACCATCATCGGTGACCAGAAGGGAGTGAAAAAAAGCTGGCAAACGTATCCAGTCTCTGGCAAAGGCTGCTAAATGCTAGAAGAATAAAAAGGCTTTGTCTTTTGTTTTGGCATGACAAGGCTTTTAAACCTTCCTAGCTGAAATGTGTTGTGATGCAATATGTCAGTATAGCACCATTGTCCATTATTGAGCAGCTGAAAATGTCAGGAGCTGGGGGGCTTTGGAGCGTTTTAAATCTGTACTGAGTTGAGAAAGAAAAAAGTTTTAAAATCAAGTAACTGTTGAATTATTGGTACTGATCAACAACCAAATCAACCCCTTGCAAGTATATTAAGCTTTTTACAGTAAATCCTCATTAATTCTATTTCTTTCCTTTCCTATCTGACTACAGTCCATGGACCCCAGGCCACATAGTGCCTCCCATTCCCTCCAAGCTACTCCCAACAGCACCATCCACAGTCTCGGTCCTCCCACCCACCCTCGGCTAGCTGACCTGTGGGGAGCTGCGCAGGTTGAGGCACACCACGTAGGCACTTGCCTGCTGAATCCAAATGGTCAGATTACAGACTTTGCGGACTAGATGATAGCTTAATATATTGTGACAGCTATGAGAGTTTGCAAGGGCACAGGGGTGCGTGACTGTATATACAGTCACAGGCAAACTGGACAGGCATGTCCATTTAGTCAACAGAGAGACAATAGTCATCATAGCGATTAGAGCATGTCTTATTATGCATTTAATACTCTCTTGTTATTGTAGGAAGCTAAGGTTTATCTTCTTTGATCCCGTTTCTCAGGCACGTGTCTTCAAAGGTGGAATAAAGTGCACTAGTAATATCAGGCTGATGTTAATATTCTGCACAGGTATTTTGGTCATTTTCCATCATGTTTAACATCTTGGCTAATTTCTTTTTGTCTTCTGGATCTGGCTTTGTTTATATCAGCAGGCATATTTAGCACACATCTGTAGTGCAGTGAATGATGGGAGAAACTGCCAGGGAAGTCAGCAAGGTAGGAGACAGGCTGGAAATCTGCATGGAGCACTGCCAAAAGTCTGCATGACAGCCTTAAATGGACCTGATGAATTTTCACAAGGAACCTCCTTAAATCTGCCCGGTCTTCAGAGTAGCATGCTGTAAAGTCCGCAAGTTTACAACTCTAAGCATTTGGATTCAGCATCTGTGTCTGTTGTACCTACCTAAGTATCTGTCTTTTCTCTCTGATGTCCTGCACAGGCAAACCAAACTGTGGTGACAGGGGAGCTCATACTCTGCTTGTCCATCTTCTCTCCTTCTTTCTTTTCTTCCTTTCTGTCTTCTTTGTCTTTCTGTGACTATTGTCCATGACCTGAAAAAGACTTGATGTCAGTATTAGAATGCAACCTGTTAAAAACCAGTGCAACAAAAAAAGACAAGCAATTAAATCAGAAAACCTAACTGGTTACAGGTGGACATTGTCGGACAGCTGAGTGGACAGATGACTGAAATGGTCGGAGGTGTAGTGGAGACAGTTGGAGAGGAGCCTGAACCAGAGTCTGAAGACATTCCTGAGCAGCATGAAGAGGAAGAGGAGGAGCTGACAAAGGTGAGTTACCTCTACAACATCTTTGCTCTAAAGTTTGATCATAAATAATCAAAAACTGATACATCAGTGAGATTCGAATAAAATGAAGGCAGTCAAAGAAAGAAGACAGAGTTATATAAGTGAGGAAAACATGTAAAAGATTAGAGCCTTATTTACCTGTGGTACAACACAACTGTAGCATCCCAAATCGTCTTTTTAACGCCTAATTTCCTGTCTTTACAGGTAGAAGAGGTAACATTAACCTTGGAGCCGGAGCCGTGCTCTTTGACCCCATCCCCGCTGAGGGAGGAGGTCCCCCCCACTAGAGGCTCAAGCCCAGGACTGCCATTACAGATTGCTGAATCTGTCCCGGAGAGGAAACCGTTTGACGTTACGCCCTGTGTTGTCCAATTGCTGGAGAAGGACGAAGAGGCGGAGGAGGGCTCTATTGTTGTTGTTGCAACCAACTGAATTATAGGGCCAAAAAAAAAAAACTGACAAAAACAGGAAATAAATACTTCAATAATCAATCCAGCTATTCTACCCCAACCCCCTCCCCACTATTTACCCATTTTGAGTCCGAGGAAATGCAACTTTTTCAGATGAAAAACGTGGGATGTAATGTACACAAACTAAATGCCAAGAAGCACCCCCCCCCCCCCCCCCCC